GTTCCAGGTACCGAAATGGTTCCAGGTACCGAACTGGTTCATGGTCCTGAAGCGGTTCTGAACCGAGCCCTGTTTTGAGCCCTTTTTGTTTAGACACGCAGCAGAGCAGAAGTGGATCGGACCTCAGAGCAGCAATAGCCTCTCAGAGGAACGAGGCTGCTTCTTAAAGTCACTTTGTTTGCATGAATCTCATGGCGTCCAGAATTCAGTGAGTCCACAGCTTAGTTTTCCAGCTGGTATCCAGTGTCAGCTGGTGCAGCATATCAGTCATGCTGAGGATACTGAAGCATCTCAGACGCACCTATCAGCTGAATTCTAGCTGCACCAGGCTCTGATCCAGGTCCAGAGGGACTGAAACAGCTTTCCTGCTTCAGCTCAAGGCAATGAGGACAGAATCTGAGGTAAAATAATCACATCCGCATGTTATATATTGTCATCTTTCATTATCTGAAAAGTATTTGAACAGAACCATTAAGATGCTGGCATCTATTTTAAATCGATCGGAAAAACCCGCTGCCATCAAACACTGAGGCATTAGGAACAAAATACCATCATATGCTGATGATGTTATTCTTCACATCTAAAAATAATCTGATTAATTCTCCATACAGTCATTGCAGCTACTTCATTTGAGACGTTTACTGAGAGCAAAATAATATTTTAGAGCAGTGAAGCAGTCCAGACACCAAGACTCCCCGTTTAATTTATACCCACAAAGTCAGTCACTCCGAGGAGGAAGGATCTTCTATAGACTTTGCTTGGTTCACATGCAGGCCTGCGATGGACGTACCAAACACACGATTAACCTGAATATAGACACTCTAACACATATATTAAGCACATTGATGTTTTCCTCAACGATGATGAAATTAGTTCATTGAGGAGAACTAACGAGCTAATCATGGATCTTTGATGAGGAAAACATGACGAGTCATGGGTGTGCATCACTGAGCTGTAAACTGTTAGAAACACTAAGCAGTCATGGCGCCCACCTGGGGTGCAGCGGTCCCACCTATGGCAGACCGTTTTGACATTTATTGGCTTAACTGGATATGTAACCCACGTGTCTCAAATTGATTTTTTCATCGTCACATTTAATATTTCAATTAATTACTTCCTATATAAAAATAAACATTTTGGATGTCTAAAGGTGAATTCTGATGAGGATGAACTCTTGATTTCAGATCTCCATAATATAATTATTACCAGGAAACCAGAGACGAGACGACTGCTTTTACAGCGACGGATAAGGACTACCTTGAGAACCTTTGATAGCTCAAAGAAAGGACCAACCAAGTCATGGCTGTGGAGAGATGGTGGCCAACGTCATGCCTTCCGGACGAGTGTCCTTCATGCTTTAAACGTCCTCTAATTCAACACAAACAGATCAAATGGTTTATAACCAGGCTCTTGTAGGACATGTGGAGGAATTCCAGGCATTTGCTTCAGCTGCTGGAAACATGAAGGAAGTGGATCCACAAGGACCACGGTCTTCCTCCTCGGCCAGATCTTTAACCAGGCAGTGATGAGTGGGATCATCAACCTCGACCTGGTTCTGATCTGCAGAACCATGACGACTCCTGCAGACTCGCTGCTGGACACGAAACAACGGCGGGACGTCTTTCTTCTTCTCTTGAGCCATCAGTGCATTTAACGGAAAAATCCGCTCACATTCAGAATTCAAACTTCTGAAAGTTCTTTAAATCTGAAATGATTCCATCCTGTTCAATAAATGATCAGTGTTTTTAATTCAGAGTAATTTTCATGTGAATGTGCTTTACTGGAGGCATCCATGTTTGTCAAAGAACACTACTGCCACCTACTGGTTTGTGACGTCACGGTGCGGTATCGGCTGTTGATCAAGTCCCAGTGCCGTATCTGGTGTTTGTCACAACGCGCTATTATCCAAGTCATCTTGAAAACATTCTTCTTCCAAATGTTGGCTACATATTACGGGTTTTTTCTCTGGCCAGAAGTTCGATGGCAAATCCTCCCTCTTCAAGTTGGCGATCCAACGACCAACCCGTCCGTGGAGGATCAGGAATCAGAAAGGTGGAATAACTCTTTATTTTTCACTTTTCCCCGATGTATTCCAGCATCCAGCTGCCATGCACGTGGGCATTGTCAGTTTCACTATAGCTCTGGTGAATTTCAATGGTGAAGTCCTCTGGAAATCTTCAATAATTGTTGTTGATTGCAGATGTGTCTAGTAGTTCCCATTGATTTAGCTTGTAAAGCGGGCAGAATGGCGCTAGGCTTACCGCACCGTGACGTCACTGCTGGAAGATGGCAGGAGGAAGGGGCTACTAGATTTGGGCAAAAATGGCCGCTCCCAGACTCAGTGATAGTTTTTATTTTTTACTGATTAACGCTAAATTCATTCAATCACCGCTAACCTATTAGTTTTAGGTATAAATATTGATCCATTGATTATTTCTTGCTGGCTTAAATAATCCCAGAGTTATAGCCGTTCCCGTGAAGAATAATTTAATATAATTTGTCCTAACATTAACCAAAGTTCATTCATTCTTTATGAAATAATTGAATTTATTTTAATTAGATTAACCCCATGCTGTGTGGGCAGATATCTGTGGACTGGACACTGGGCCCAGTTTGCTCATAGCTCCGGATCACTGCACTCCCATGACGCAGTAATAAATTACTTTCAGGATCCACTTTCAGTCCGCAGGGCTTAGTGAGGGAACGTCCACTTTGATGATTTATTTAGAGAGGATAATGAGAACTCTAAACCATAGTTCTGATGCCTGTGAGAAACGATGGAGCAAACAGCTGCTATATTCAGAGGGATGAGGTGAAACCAGGATCTGCTCTGGAGACGTCTGATTGCTGCCATGGAGCCGACTGTAGAGGAAGAGCTATGGAGTCAGAATGGGGTCAAAATGTTTACAAATCTAAGTTCAGAATAGAAAAAATAAAATTTAATATTTTAAGTTACATTTTTACCTTATAATGTGAGAAACTAATAAAGCAAACATTAAATAATAAGAATTGAATCCAAATTCAGTTTAGTATTTTAAATACACTTTCTTTTTTTTATTTCTTTTCTTTATTGCAGTTTTAAATTTTATAATATTTTTTTTGTTTCAAATTCCTTTTTCAGTTTCAGGATTTTTTTTTAACTTTTCAAATCAGTTTTTTCAGATTTTGACCGAATCTGACAGGAGTGGGCGGGGAAACGTGATTGACAGCTTGCAGCAGCACTGGAGAGATGTCCCTTACCATGTTGCATTCATGGACTGTAAGAATTCCAACTACTTGAATTTTACAGGGAAACCTGGAGATACAGGTGGTCCAAAGTATGGTCGCCTCTAGAACTTCATCCATCCATCCATCCATCCATCCGTCCGTCCGTCCGTCCATCCATCCATCAATCATCCATCCATCCATCCATCCATCCTCAGGGG